CAATAGTGGGGATCAAAAACCGATTTAATGAAGAAACAATCAACGACAGCGGTGAACAACTTATACAGATATGCGCCCTTAACGAACTGCGAATTAACCACAAATTCTTTCAACATAAACCGCAACATAAATTCACATTTGAAAACACACGAGGACAAAAGTTCATAATAGATTATATAATAACAAACAGAAACATTCACCCCGCCCAAGTGCTGGACGTAAGAGCTTTAAGTTCCGCAAATGCTGTTACTAATCACAATCTCGTAATGGCAAAAATAAGAGTCACGACATACCAAATAAAGAAAAAACAGAACGAAACAACCAGTAAACTCAATATGGAGGCACTAGCAAATTATTCTACGAAACATCTATACCAACAAAGGCTGAAACAGAAGATTGCAAATAATGGGATAAAAAATGACGACGACGTAGAAATGGCATGGAATAAATTACGCACTAATCTACGAAATGCAGCCGAAGAAGCACTTGGAAGAAGAACTAAAACCAGAACCGCAAAACGAAACACTAAACCTTGGTTTAAACAAGAGGTAAAGGACTAAGCAGCTGAAAAACGAAAAGCGTACCTGCAATACCGATCGAACACAATTACGTACGAGGTATCTAAAGCGGTCAGAAACCGGGTCAATGCAGAAATCCAGTCAATTAAACGACAGCATTGGGAAACATTCTCTGCCGATATGGAACACGACCTATATGGAGGACAGAAAAAAATCTGAAATATGCTAAGAAATAGAAAAAGGCCCCCTGCACAACCCTTCCAACCAACTACTATACGAACGCACAAACATGACCAAAATTTCGGAAAGACTAATACACTTACAGACAAAATGGACAAACAACCCTCACAACTGGACCATACTGAATCCCCTTTGACTAACAAGACGGACAAAACATTCCCGTTTTCGTACCCCAACAGATACTTTACTAGAACACCTACAAACGCAACTGAACTAACGACTAAGACCTGTTTGTTTTGTGGGCCGGAAATTTTTTTTCTTTTTTTTTATCACTGATTGAATTATACCAGTGTTAGGAATAGGACTTAATTTTAGAATAAGCTAGGCTAAGACATATATGTACTACTCAAGGGCAGAAAGACCGATTGGGTCGATAGCCTT